TGACTATCTTACGCCAAAGCCTCTTGGGATTTAGGAATTAGGCATTTTTTGACCAAAGTCCTGTAGCGTTGATGCAATAAATATTCTCAAACGTATTTAGATGTTCACTTAATCACTCTGTGAGTTGTCCTGCTTTCCCCTGCTTGTGTAGGGGGGTTGGACTAGATGATCCCTTCCAACCTCAGTCGCTCTGTCCTTCCGTCTGAAGCCAGCATGTGCCTAGGTTTTATTGTCCCTTTGTGCAGGTTAGGAAGGGATTCTGTTCTCCAAGGTAGGTATGGATGTCGCAAGCCTCATGGGATTTTACTCTTCCTGGCAAGTCTCCCAGAGAGACTTCCCGGGCTTCAGTTGGAAAGGACTTGGGTCATCTTAAATTGACAAGTCTTTGAATAGTGTTAAATGCTTTGCTACTTTATTTGGAAAGACGAAAAGCGGCCGTGCTGATTGGGTGCAATATTCATTAGAGAACTTGCAGAGAAGATACAGGCAGGGAGAGGAAAAGGTGTAGCAGTGCCATGTGAATGCTATTAGGGAGAGCTGAAGGGCATTAGCTTTTCGTCACAGTCTTTGAAGACTTTCCTATGACTGAGTAATTCTGGGCTTCTCCTTCTGAGCCAGCTGGAGAGTGGACACATAGCAGGATGTAAGGGCACCAGAGCTTCTACTGAAGTGATTTTTATAAATAAATGTAGCTGCGTAATCATTTGGTTAACTTGTTATTCATCCAGTGCAATGCAGTCTCTGGCCTTAAATCCAGCTTAGCATGTTGATACGTTTCGGTTGCATAGTGCTACCAGCAAACTGACTCTCGTTTGACATATTCAGCCATTTGGAAACTTATTTTATGTTCAGAAACTTATTTTATCTTGAATAGTCTATGCTAGAGGATGCAGTCATTTGAAAAATATAAGATAGGAATTTGGAGTTAGAAAAATGAAAGAATCTGGCTGTCTTCTGGCAAGTTTTTTGGTTCTGGTTATCTGCAAAGTATACACCTCTTGTCAGTATAAATAGGGAGTGCCTGTATAAACATTCTTGTTTCGCCTGTTCCACATAATAGTTTCTTGTATCATATTTCTTTTGACCTCGCTATCTGAAACCAATTACAGGAGATCCATTTGGGCTGCATCTATTTTCATAAGAAGCCCAGGCAGCAGTGTTTTTCTCAGAGATGAATATCAACATCAAATATGCTTCTGAGTGCTTTGTTATTTATGTTTCAGAAAGATTTTGTAGCCTTCAGCTCTCAAGAATGTGTCACGCTGTGCTGTTTATACATTGACGATATTAATGGGCGTAGATGTCATTTTTCATTTTAACGTCTCAAATGCAACAGGCTGATAGGTTAAACATTCCTATTTTTAAAAGAAAGATATGAGTGACATCTGTTCCTAAAAATACATATATATTTATATTTTAAGGGAACAAAGTAATCAGCTTACCTTCCTGTATTGGAGCTTTCACTTTATTAAAGTGATAACTCTTTAAAAATTACTTTGAGACATGCTTAAATTAAATAAAAAGGTTTGGAATACAAAATGAGATGAAATTGTGTCTCATAGAATTATCGCCCACAAACAGTAAAATATACCACAATTTATCAAGCCCATTAGAGTGAATTATAAGCAATTATTTTCTTTTTTATTCTGCTTTCATTTTAGCTATATGCCAAAGATCTACAGAAAATACCTAGAAGTACCATTCTTAATACATATTTTGCTACAAGATGCAGTGAGTTCTGGAAACCATATGCCTAAATTTCCTGCTTATATAGACGTTACTTAAAGTATTATAATGATTTTCATTTGCATTATTAAAATCATTTCTAATCCTCAGTTCTTTTTATTGTTTTTGTCTACACTGACTTTTTTTCCGTATAGTTTTACTAATTTAGCTAACTTAATTAAGGAAAAGTGCCCACTAAATTTGAAACAAATGTTATTGGAAACTGGATACAGTTTTGGCTGCCTAAGAATCCTTCCTTGCTGCTGTTAATTTGAGGTAGGACTCAATATAATTTTGATCTGCTCGATTTATAAACATCTGTTAGTTTGTTTTCACCGAACTGCTTTTAGACCACATTTTCTTGTGCATGTGCATGTAATCTACTAATTTGGAGGGCCAATCTTAAGGTGCAGTTTATTTTGCAAAGATGTAGTAGCAGCAAATGAATTTAGAGAACTGGATGTTTCCCTGTCTCATAATCTTTTCTTCAGGGAAATGGCAAAAACAGTTCTTTGAAATTAACACTGTGTTTCTGGGAGATTGTTTACTGAGTAGCAAAATCTAAAGTTAAGCAGTACATAGGGAGAAAAAAAGTGCCACGTGATACTTGGTCTAAGAACAAAGGCTGACAGTGATTTCTCTTTATGAGTTTTAAATCATCTCTGATCTTCTGAAATTGTTTTCTGTTCCTGTGCTATCTCCTGTGTTTACAATAATCTAAACTGCCACAATAAGATCACTGCAGTATTCAGTAGTCATCATTTATAAGACATTTTGTATTAAAAGATGAGCCTTTATTCCCTTAAAGATATCCCTACCAGCACATATAAATCAAAATAGTTTAAGTAGTAGAGCCTTTTATGCAAACATATCCTGTTGTGCTACCTTGCTTTTTCATTTTGTAGTTGGTGGTAGGAATTCATCCTTTCTTATACCGAATCTATGCTAGTATGCTAGCCCTGATTTGAAATTATCCTCTCTAGCTTAAATCTAAGGCACTTCATAGTCTAATTCTCTAATTTTCAAGTACTGTGAATGTACACTTTTTACCAGATGCTTGCTTGCTTGCTTTTGTATTGATGTTCGAGGTATTTCCTCCTGAGGAGGATTAGGACCCTGAAACAATTTGCAGACTGTTCCAGATATTTTAAACAATACATCGGTACTGTATCACTATGATTTTTATAGATAAAGACCCTGTAATGAACTTCCTGCTGCTGCCACAATTAGAAAATACATTTATTTTTATGGTTCTTCCCATCTTCTTTAACTCCAGATTTCTTCACTTGTTCCTGTGGCAGTATCATCCTGAGCAGTGAGGCTGGCTTTCCTGCGCAGGCTCCTATTAATTCAGAGGCGCAATAGTTTTCTCTCTTTAATTCCAATTTCCCTTTCAGAGAGTTTTAAAGATTGGGAAGGATTATGAATTCACTGTAGATCTTCTGTTCATGCATTTAATCCATGTTTTGTGTCTCTACTGCTGCAAGGTGTTGGGACCAAATCCTGGTGCCCCTGGAATCACCAGATATTTCTCTCTGATCTCAGACAGAGCGGGATTGTCCTTTGGGATCTGCTCGGGACCTGCGATTGCAGAAAAGATTATGCCGTTCACATAGGAAGCAGGGCATCCAGCGATTCCTTGGAAACAAAATATTCGGAGGGCACTTAGAAATATGTTAACTCTTATTTATTTTTGAAGGCGAGACGCCGGTTGTGTACGCCTCGTTGCTTAGGTTCGGAGGAATGTGTAGCCTTCGCAAAGCTGACCTGTAATTACTGGAGAATTTGATGAAACAATAAGGGGATTGTTGTGGGAATGTCTCCAAATGTGGAAAGTGTGCTCTGCAAACTTTGCACCGGGGCCTTCTGCGGGGAGACCAATCGATGTTGTTAGGAGATGGGGCTGGTGCATTCAGTTTGTTTGCTTTGGTTTCCGCTGTCTGCCTGCCTGCTCCGAAAACTTGCTTGGAGCCAGACTGTAGCAGCCCCCGCTCTGTCTTTTCATAATTGATCAGGGGATGACTGCCTTCCCCGAGGGTTAAGACGTGGCAACTTTTTCTGTTTGCTCAGCATCTCAATGCAGTAGTTCAAACATTGTTCACACCAGCTGGCAGTGTAATGCCATATGCACATCTTGTCAAAGCAACTGTTGTCATGGATACTAGAAACTATCTTAAAAAACAGCTCATTTGAGTCTAATCAAAATTGTACCTTTCTTCATCGTCGGAGAATCTTTATTATTTTAGGGACTATCGATCAAGTTGCATTTATTGCGCTCTATCCTGCGTACCGTGTGCTATAATAACATCCATAGCTGTGCTGTGTTTTAAGGCTGTAATGGCTACTTACTGAATTGAGCGGCTTTAAAAGAGAAGAGTTCTTCAGTGACTTTCAGTGTGAAGGATTTGAGTATTTTTTTTCATGTCTTAATAAGTACTGCTGCATTTTAAAAATGATTTTACAGCAAAAATAATTTCCAGTAGCCTTTTCTGGTAATGCAATGTTTGTATACATTTCATATGTTTAAATGTATTCTGCTGATCTGGAATGAAAACACAAAATAAATGAAAACGTTTTATATTTTGATTGGGATACCATCATCCCCAGAGTCTGATCTGGTTGGTGGAGTAGTAATTTCTTTGTTCTCTGATTTTCCTAAGAATGCAAATGAAAACCACTCATTTTTATTTGGCATTAAAACTGCACTTTATTTTGTCAAAGGAGAGGTTTCTCCTTGAATTGTAAGTACAAAAAGTGTTTTTAATCTTCAATGAATATCCTTATTAATTCATTTTCAAGATAATCTGATGTTGATTTGTCAAATTTAATTACAGCTTCCGGTAACACTTGAAGTCTACTTGCTTTTGCTTCAAAATTGTAATATGAAAATGCAAATTGAATGATAATTTACAAGGGAGTGGGCATTTTAGTTGAACACTCAAAGACAAGTTCCTTGTGGAAATGAGGCTATTGATGCAGTTTATGATTTTTCCTCTTCAAGCACTTTAAACAAATTAACTTTATTTCCTGCAGGATTTCATGTACATCCATAAATTTTAGTGAAGTTGCATATATGTCTGTGTAGAGGGTTTTTTTTTTTTCATGTTTTAAGAAAAACAAACCAAACTTAACTCTGAGGGCTACCAAATACAAATTGACCGGGAGGAGATTGCGCTTGTTCAAATGGACTTTTAAATAACATTAACACTGAGTAGCCTATCTCTTTCTAGGAAATGGCAGAAATTATATACCTTTTTTTTTTTTCTTACTTTTAGGCACTCCAGGCAGCAAGACAGCTGCTTTTACAGCAACAGACAAGTGGACTGAAATCTCCTAAGGGCAGTGATAAACAGAGACCACTGCAGGTTAGTCAGATATCCCTGCCTTGGGGCCCTGCTGTCAGGGCAGCGCGTTGTGCTTGCTCACACATGTGTGGGTATATGTGTGCCTGTGCTCTCGTGTGGTATATGTGCATATTCATGGAAAAGGGGATAGAGGCTTGGGTGAAGGTGACTGACGTCTAATTCTCAGAGAAAATTCTCCGTAAGTAACAAAAGCCACGTGTGGTAATAGATACTTCCTTAAAAGGTCTGTTACAACAAATACCTATGAAGACTAAATCTGCATTCAATGGCTACGGCACGAATAACTTCTTTATAAATACATTGCAAGATTTCTGGGAGGTTTCTGAACTAAAAGGTGAAAAAAAAAAAGCATCCAGAAACAAATGCTGGAGTAAGAGGTCCCCACTGTTATGTAAGTGACAAATACAGAGGTGTTCAGGAGCTACAAGCACAACCACAAGGAATTAAGAAAAAGCTGCTCCTGTTGTTCTAGAAGAACATTTGTCATAGCTTCATCCTGGGATGCTGGTAGGCTTCAGCTAATACAGTAAATGGGAGTTCTGCTATTGAATAGTTGTTTCAGAAACATTATATAGAAAACTGTAGGTTCTGTTTGTAGGAGGGAAGCATTGGAACTTTTCATTGGGCTTGTTTCTGAAGTTTTAGCTCCTTTGTGCATTTGTCGCTAATTCAGAGTTGCATACAAGATTGAGTTCTGCTGACAAAAGTGGTTCCTTCATTAACTATAAACAGATGAGTGTTTACTGCTGAATTACAGTCTGGTTCAGACAAAAGCTGTATGTGATAGCTGATTATAATTTGTTCAGAAAATAAAATAATTCTTACTGTTCTCTTCCTCACATCTGTTTTTGTGGGTGAGCCTTTAGCCGATTGGGACTTCACCTTTCTCTGAGGGATACTGAGTTGTTATATCTTTTTCATTCGGGGGGATGCAATAAACCCCAGACACTAAGGTTCATCTTTTTATTGGTGAGATGTTGTGAAATGTGATTCCTGCAATTTTTGCGTATAATTCACATTGTCTCCCTTTCATTGCGAAACTTCACAAGAGAATATTAGACTGCTAACAGTTCCTCAATTTTATCTTTCTCCAAATATACTTTTAAATTTGTATTTATTTGCTCAGATCCAAAGAAGAATTTAGGGGAAGGGCTGAAGGGAATGGAAGGAGAATGTGTCCAGTTGGCATCCTGCTGTGCTGTAGTTGTAGTCCATTGTAGAGAGAGGTAAAGAGAGGGTAGGAGTTCTGAGACCATCTCAACTTTCTGCTCTTTGCCCTTGACTTTGCTTTTTATTAGATATCTTTTAAGCTGAAAGCACACACAAAGAGTGTGTGGGGCAGCAGCTTATTCCGATGTATCTTTGTAAGTTTTTAGGAGTGGAACTAGCAGGGTCGACCCTTGGGGGTGATAGATTAAATGAAGGTGGTGGAAGCAGTTTGTTCTGCAAGCTGCTTTTTGGAAAAAAAAAACCATCAGCTGTGCTGGGAGAGTACAAAGTCCATCTAGCCTGAAAACCATTTTTTGTTGTTTTTTTTTTTTTGCGAGATGCACTCTTAGTGAAGGGCAGTGAAGGGAGAGAGATCTTGTGTTCCCATTCCCAAGGAGCTAAGCTTAGCCTTTTAAAATATGTGGGATGGGTGCTGTAGAGTAGTCCAATATTACCTCTTGCCCAGGAAAAGTCACACAGGTGAGGCAGGAGGGAGCAAATAAAGCAAATAATTTTCTTTGTGGAATTGCTATATCCTCCCTAAAGCCAAGATAACTGCTTGTTGGGAACTTTTATTCAGACGACGGGTGTGTACACATTGACAGTGGCTAATAAAGCCTTGGACACTCCATTTAGTTAATTTTTAAATGAGAGGAACATGGAATTTGTTCCCCAGCTCTGTATGTATCAAATGTCATGTAAATTCAGGTATGAGCACACATTCCGTTTTAATGTTCTTCCAGAGTGAAAAGGAGGTATAAAAATTTTGAAAAAGAGACCTATGACCTTCTCTATTTCTGTCATTTAATGTTACTACAGAGCTGTTCATTGTTCACATGTAGTGGTAATTTACATTTTGAGCAATGTGATCTCAGTTTGGCCAAATACCATAATATCATAAAATTGTACAGTGTTAGTATTTTATAATGCCAAATTTAATGGTAACCTTAGCCAAAATCTCATAGCAAAAGGAATTGCTCAATGTGCCTCAGCAAATTGAGATTTATAAGTCAAAAATATGTGCTTGTGTTTATACTAAAGGAAAGTATTTAAAAATACTTTAATATTAGTGTATTTCTAATGTCTTCTAATTTCAAAGCAATTTGCCAATCTGAGAGCTGGAGATACGTATTAGAGACCTAGCAAAAATCCTAGTGAGATTTTTAAAGCTAGCTCACACATCTGGGGACAAATGTGGATGTCGTTAGTAATCTTTCCCATTACACCTCTCCTGTGCCCCGTATTTTCATGTAAACTATGCTGTTGTTCCACATGCCAAAAGAGGAAAACGTCGTATCAATCTTATTGGCTGCCTTGTTGTATTTGAAGAGTATTTTTGGAAATATGGCATATGGTGTTCTTATATATGTTCTCACTGTTACTCTATAATGCATCAAGTGTTTGGCCTACAGTGCCTACTAACTAATCAGCAAGTTGCAAACTTACTGAAGAAACATTGAAATTTGTTTCCACAGCTTTGCCAAAACAGAGTGTTGGGTAAGTGGCCAAGTTCTACTGTGCTTTACAAAGCATATGGCTTTAAAGAACCTCTGGGTTTTTCTTTCTAGAAGAATTCAAATATTTTTTATATGATTCACATGCAAAATATATATATATATATGTAATTGTTACTTGATGTATGATCTACTGTGAAAGGCAGAGAATTTCCGTAGTTGGCAATTGTATTTCTTTTGTTTTTTAATGCAAAAATATCCTTACTAGCAAGTTCAGGAGGCAGAGGTTTATATTTAGATTATGAGTGCAACACAATTGCTGCAAAAAGTACTAGTTTTACGTAGATGCTTATCTTGATCAACTATTCCTTGATTTACATTTTTCTGGGTTTCAGACTGCAGATGGTATCACCATTAGCATGTCTTATGCAAAACAGAATGAGAAAGAGGCCATCTGACAAGCTTGAGTACCAATTGTAGTAGTGATTTTACTTTCATGTATAGATATCCGAATAAATGTATTCGAAACATGTTTATATATGCCATTCATTACACGATGCATGAATTGAATAGATCCAATCAGTACATACATTGATTAATGACATATTGCAGAATAGTTAAGTAGGGATTGTGATGAGAGTTGAGGGTAATATTAACTTGAGTATGATGGGATAATAGCATTTACTTTCTTCCTGTGCATCCTGAAAAACACACTGCAATAGTAAGGTTAAGATATCTGTAGTACGAATTTTGGTTTCAGAACGTTTTTTCCCTTCCTGGACCTGCTATGATTGTGGCAATACGTGGTGAAGTGAGCTGATTACTTTCATGGAACTAGTTCCCTTTTATAGCATCAGATTTCCAGAGTACATGTATCAAGGAAAATGCCCCTTTGAGTCTTAGAACCTGTGGATCATTCTTCTGTGGCAAAAAATAGCTATCCTATGGCCACTAAAGAATCTAATGTCATCTAGGATAGGTTTAAAACTGGCAACATTGGTTACATTTTCAGCCATGAGAAACTTGTGGTTCTTCAAGGCCTGTGCAGAGCAGAGGCGAACATCAGGGGTGAACGCTGTCTGCTCACTGCCATGCTTGAGTGTTGGCATACAGCGTTAGAACTATTGCACCTATGCCAGGTAGTCAACTCTTGGTTCCCCTGCTTGGTCCATGATTCACGTACTGCTATAGGCTGTATAGCATAGTAATTTGGACAGATAGTTATAATCTTATTTGATTTTGCCTCAAGATCTATGAAAAGCCTAGCTCTTTTTATTCCCTGTAATGTCTCTAATTAAGTAGTTTATTTTCATAGTCAGAGTTTGAACTTTATCTTGATTAGAATACATAGATAATTATCTTCAGTAACATAAGTTAATGTATTTACAATTTACTAGTTACTTTTTATACCTTCATGCTAGCAGATTTTTGTTTCAGCTTTACTACTAGTGCATTGTGTATGAGGAAGGCATGTCAGGAAATCATGACTCCTGGAATCAAAGGGTTAAGCTCAGTGTGTACCAAGGCTGGCGTATAGGTACTGCGCAGTATGGAGTATTGAGTTGTTAAAGCTTTGTTTATTTAGCAGGAGCACTTCCTTGAAGTGTCATCATTTGATAAAATTTGGGGAAGGTAAGTATTCATTTAAGTTTAATTACTTAATGTTTATCACTTTAGTGCAAACTAGCAGAAGAATCATGTCCATAGGAAAAATGCAAAAATTCAGATTTTACAGCTTTATACAATAGTCCAGTCAAATATGAGTACATTGATATATGCTTGAACAGAGTGATTTTAAGCTCTAATTTGTCAGATGTCATTGATCACAGAAAATCATGTTATCATGGGGGAAAAAAAGGAAAATGGGAAAATAATGAAATTGAAATTACTCTCAATATCTGATATATTTTATGTTGGCTGAGATTTGAATAAGTTGTTGGCAATCCTATCAGAGAGAAGGTAATAGTGGCATTTATTCTATGTATTTATATGGTATGGACCATGAAGAACAAGTGGTTAGGAGAGGACTGGAAATTGTGGGCACACACTTTACTTCAGCACATGGAAAACTTATGTGTAAAGAGATATTCCTAGCTGTTTTTCTTGAGCTTACGCTCCAGCACTCCTTGCCTCAGTGTTAATCACTTCTAATTCAGCCATTTCGCCTTGGATCTTCATATGGGTATGAATTTCAAAATGATTATACATAATAAGTTGCAAACATATAATTAACATTGTAACTTTACATACCTTTTTAAACATACATAAGAGAATTGTGAAAAAGAAGCAAAAATCTCTGCTTTTAAATACAAATACTGACTGCAAACATGCCTGTGG